AGAGCTGGAGGGGGGGGGGGGGGGGAGCTCGTCCTATTTTCCCTCTCCTCCATCCCAATTTGTGGTGTTCCCTAGGGAAAAGCTGCGCATCCCTCCTGCGTGTGGAGCCCTTTGTGTGCGCCCAGTGCCGCACCGACTTCACCCCGCACTGGAAGCAGGAGAAGAACGGAAAGATCCTGTGCGAGCAGTGCATGACTTCCAACCAGAAGAAGGCTCTGAAGGCAGAGCACACCAACCGGCTGAAGAACGCCTTCGTGAAAGCCCTGCAGCAGGAGCAGGCAAGTGCATGGCCCCCCCTGCTCCCCGTGCCCTTGGAACCTCGCTGCTCCGTGGGGATGCGCAGCTTGGAATGTGGGAAAGGCTGGAGCTGAAGGGCTGGAGCAGCTCTGCTCTGGAGCCAGGCTGAGAGAGCTGGGCTGGGGCAGCTGGAGAAGAGAAGGCTCCTGAAGGGGACACCTTAGAGCAGCTCCAGTGCCTAAAGGGGCTCCAGGAGACCTGGAGAGGGGCTTTGGACAAGGGATGGAGGGACAGGCCAAGGGGAATGGCTTGAACCTGCCAGAGGAGAGATTGAGATGAGCTCTTGGGCAGAAGCTCTTCCCTGTGAGGGTGATGGGACACTGGGATGGGTTGGATGAAGCTGTGGCTGCCCCATCCCTGCAGTGTTGGATGGGGCTTGGAGCAACCTGCTCTAGTGGAAGGTGTCCCTTCCACTGGCTTGGAACTGGATGAGCTTTAAGGTCCTTTCCAACCCAACCCATTCCAGGATTCTGTGAGCACGCTGGAGCAGTTGTTCCTCTCCCTTCGTGGCTGATTCCCCCTGGATTTGTGGCTCCAGGGCTGGCTGGGGACAGCCTCCTTCCCTCCCTGGTTTGTCACTGGCTTTGCTGGAATGGGTGGGAAGTCATGGGAAGTCACTTAAGCACTCACTGCCTGCTGCTTAGGTGTGGAAAGGGGGAATTTGCTACATTCCCGGGATAAATCAGTGCTGGAAAACTCGTTTAGAGGCCCTGGGGGTAAAATAAACCGGAGTCATCACGTGTGAAGTGTAAAGAGAAACCCCTTCACATGAAGTGGAATCCGGCTCCTGGCATTTGGGATGTGTCCATGTGGGAGAGGGAGCCTTTGGGCTGTTTGTGGTGGGGGGGGGGGGGGGCGGGGGGG